TGTATCTGACTTGACATAGTTATTGAAAAGTTGGTCTCTGGTACATAAATAACTTTCTTAAAGATCAAATGCAAAGGTTTTTTTATAATTGCCAGTAAAATCAAAATCATATAGCTACAACACTATCTAAGTTATTGCAGTATTAAAATCGGAGATAATATGCGTCTGGCAATGCGCAATATTTATTTTGTTCAACCCCCAACACCAAGTCCGACGATTTATTTTCTCAGCCGCTCCTCCGCAAGATGGCGTCGCGTGACATCACAGTGGCCAAACAAACAAACCTGGGCTTATCGCTCACAGCTGCTTCCGCCGATAGTACAACTTAGTTTCGTTATCATGTCTGATTCTGAGTAGACTATAGACTAAAAGCTTTAGGAATCAAAACTATAACATATAATAAGTACCCTGTATCAAGATTGATGCAAAACAAGTGACGTTTGACCTTTTTAGAGAGGTTTAGAAAAATAAAGTCCAGGCGGACTCACCACTGGGTAATTTGGGAACCATCACAACCAAACACAATGCTAACAGTGAGACTCTGAATTAGCCCCGAGCAAAAAATGCTAACCTATTACTGCACCGAAATCACTCCTAGCTCCCTTATTACTTATCCTAGCTCCACATCCAACACATTGTTTATGATCGTAAAGACACAGAATCTAACGGTGCCCACCTCTATAAGCACCCACTCGGCTGAAAGAAATGAACGCATGGCGGAGGGCTTTTTTGATGCATAGGCCTAATGAAGTGGTTAGAAGAATGTTGGGTTTTCTAAGTGCTCACAGCCACTTTTAATTGCGCGGGGGGCATTTTTAATTGGGCCAGGAGGAATAATAGTGGATTTAATCCCTATCATAATGCATATTGTTCACACTTTTCCGTTATGAGTGGAGGAGCGATTAATGAGCTGCAGATAAACTACAATGCTAACAGTGAATTAGCCCCGAGCGAAAAATGCTAACCTATTACTGCACCGAAATCACTCCTAGTTCCCTTATTACTTATCCTAGCTCCACATCCAACACATTGTTTATGATCGTAAAGACACAGAATCTAACGGTGCCCACCTCTATAAGCAATAAAACTGCAATTCCGTTATCTGCGTTATCTGCTGTGCTCCGTGCGCTTTGAAATCTAATCAAAAGTTGTTTACCTCAATTCTTTGGCGTTTCTGCATCGCCCGGCTCTTTCGTTCTTTCAGTGGTTTCTTGTGCTGAAATATGGAGGGGACGGCTCCGGGTTTCAGCCTCCGACGTGCTATTAATGCTTCTCCACCAACAGACTTCATGATAGCAGGATCAACGTTGTATGCATCACACGCGAAGTGGTCAGAACACAACTTGCTCCATTTTGTCGGTTGCCATCCAACACGATTCACTAAAAAAATCAATTTTTTGCGGATGATTTGGTCTTTGGGAAATGCATGTAAAACTCTCCCAGATCCCGCACCGTTCGTACAACAAAAAGCTCAACAATAACCCATGTTAATTCAGTTTTCTTTTCGAAAAACATGTGACCGAGACTGCCGAGTCGGGATATTTGGTCCAGAGACTGTTTGGCCACTATTACGTCACGCGCGCGAAGGCTGCTGGGAATTACATGTCAGAAATTCAGACGGCTTTGGGTCGAGTTTTGGATCGAGTTTTGGATCAATAAAAAGCTTTTTTTTGGGTGTATTATCTCGATTTAATTTTTTTTTTTAAATACAGGCAGTCTTAAAAACAACATTTCTATAAAAATGTAGCATATTTGGAAGCTTTGCATTTGATCTTTAAATCTTTGTTTTTTGTTACATTTCTAATTGTATGTAATGGCTTGCAATCCACATGATTTGAACATAATGATTGTAACAACAAAGCAAATGGCTTGAAACAACTGAAACATGCATTTAGAGGCATACATCAGTGAGTCGTGTTGACACAATGGAAAACCAACTGTTTACTCGACCCTGTGAATTATAGATTAAGTCGGGGGGAAAAGATTGTAGGTACACTTAGAAATGTGGAGTACAATGGAGACTTGTAGATTTGGAGTACATCAATTAGATATCAGAAAATGGTTTTCATATGTGGATCGTTGCTGTAGGTCGTACTGCAGTGAAACGCAGACTTGGCGTACTGCTACATTCCTCCGTCAATTGGTGGAATGTCAGCGTAGCTTACAATTCATGTTCTGAATTACCTTGAAATACACAACACAGCTGGATTGCCATTTTCCCTACATCTGAGTGTTTTCACTCTTCATGTATTTACTTTGCATTAAAAATCATTTTATTTTACCCCAGTTTGTTTTCTGTTACACCAAACTCTTATTGGTTTCTCAGACATGGCGACTGCCACCCCGCTGTCTGGAAGTTGTTCTTACGCAGAAGAGAACCGCAGTGTTCTCCTTCAACAGCTTTTCATGTTGGCATGTGTCCATCCTCTGTACATGAATACATGAGCTGCCTTTGTTTCTCTGCCTCTGTATCAGGTTACTGGGCATGGCTGCGCCGTGTGTTTAATGGAAATGCTATGCAGGAAAAGGCCATGTGGCAGTCTTAAATATATGTACATCCGTAATGGGATACTCGTGAGTTCCTCTTAGAGTAACTGTTTGCCTTATTAGGCTGTCGTCTTGTGACTGCAAACAAACTGGAGAGTACAGAGGGATGGAAGACATTCTTGAGACTTGTGTCCTGACTGCATACTGTATACATTATCGTACCTCCGGCTCCAGGAAAGCAGGATGATATATGTGAGCTGCAGAGTCACAGGCCATCGTGGTGTAAAGTGCTTTGCTGAGATGAAATACAGAACATCTATTTATCATCTGCTGGCAGCGGCACATTAGGACATGCTCGGTTCCTTGACCATCAGAGTTTATATGAGATATGATAATTTGATGCCTCAGATGGATGACTCTGTGTGGGTCAGAGGGCACGTGAGGAAGAGCTGATTAGCTGATGAAGATTTAGTTTGGTTTAGTTTAATGTGCCTAAATAATGTTAAATAAAACACGAGATGAATATCCAAACAGTTGCTTAAATTCAATAAAAATGACAAACTTTATTAAAAAAATAACATATACTGTACTTAAAATGTATTTGAATTTGAATACTAGGCATCAAATGATTTTTCAGGTATTTTTTAAAGATTATCAAACATACTTTTTATCATTGGCTCTACTCACTGTGGTCCTTTAAACACATGCTGTTTGCCAGGATACTCAGTTTCAAGCCTTTCTTTACATTAAAAACAACACAATAAATATTATCTAGAAACCACACACGCAGCTGCAGAATCTCTCATTATGGAGGCGTGGAGGTTGTAATTTCCCAGTCAGCGGAGTTTCCTCAGAGAACGTGTGCCGGTGGAAAGACGTCTCTCTTTATGGCCGGGACTCAGGGGAGCCACTGTGCTGCAGGCTGAGGGCTGGATGTGTGTGTGCAGCACGGGCCTGTAGGGGATGAGCGTGGGGCTTGGTGTCCATAAATCTCGCCCGGCACCCCCTCCCTCTCTGACTCCCCAGCCAACCCTTCCCTTTCACACACACACAGAGGCTCAGACTCAGAGGCCTGCAGGCCTTGCCAGGCTCCCCCAGACAAAGCTTTTTATCTTCAGCCTCTCTTAGCTTTACACTGACCCACGGCACCCTGAACTAATCTTAATGGTTGTTGGAGGATGTGAGGTGATCACGCTCCCTTGACCTTATGGTTGTACTTGAAAGAATGTATAACGCTTTAAGTCACTGGGTTATTCAAGACTGTAGTAGGCCACCCATGATGTAACACGTCTTTGAGTCGTGTGTTTACTGAAAGAAAGTATACGACTACAATTAGCAACAGGGCAATTTGTAATGCAAAAAAAGTAATGAAAGTGTTGAATACAAATTAAATAATGTTTTGGGTTGTTTTTTGTGAATAATTGTTTCTTTAAGATTGAAATTGTATTTACAATAAACGTACCACACACCAGAGTTCAACTGTCCACCGTGACCACTGCTCAGTACACTCTGAGGTAATGCATTGGCTTCGTATCTTAGTATCTAAACCATAGGTATAACCATATTTAAGACCATTGGTAAAACTAAACCATTGGTAAAACCGATGGTTTTAGATAATTTAATATTTAATTTAATTTAATTTAATAGCAATAATGTAAACTTCACATTATAGCCAACAGTTTTCCATTTATATGTGGTTTTATCTTTTTTTGAAATAGCCTATTTGTTCTTTGTTATCTCTGTATTCTTTAAAAATCAACCAGCAGCGAACTAAAGCTTGATTTGTAAAGTCATCTATCTCAATCTTTCAACGTGTCCCGAAATCATACGCGGAAATGTAAGGTGATGATGAAGTAGTTCTTGAATAGACCAACCCAAATAAGGCAAGTTTCTAGGTTTCTAAATGCTGATTTATTGATTAGCAAAGTTTTGGCAATTATTAAAAACCTCTGCTACCTAATGAACTCTGTAAATCATAGATTCAATTGGGAATAACGACTCAAGGTACACGTGGACTACATGGGTGGATCACTGCTGTAGGCCTTGGAAAACCTATTTAAGCTGTTCTCTAGCAGTTGTATCACCTGTGACTCACGCTATGTGTTTGTATTCATTTATGTGCCATACAAATGCGTTTCCTGCATGTAATGCACGGTGGTCCAATGATTTTAAAATGATTTACTTGAAGAACATAGCCTGTTATCAGCCGTTTGACAAGCGTAAATTAATCACATGAAAATCACCGTTGACACTGGGAAGTCCCGGGAGGCTGCTTATGTGGTTTAGCCGGTGTTGTAACTTGCCAACCTGCAGTGCATGTCTCGTCGTGAGACTCTCTAAAAGGCGGGCTGCAGTATATTACATGGGTTTTATGGCATTACGTATTACAACTTTGCAGTACCCGGTGTTTGGCTGCGAGATTAAAGATGCTGTAAAACTCAGCATGCGTGACTGTCAAGCATGTACTTACTTATTTGACTCATCCTTAACACACTGTCTTTGTCTCCTCGCAGCTCCATCCACAGTATCCATCATGCACCAGGTCAGCCGCACTGTGGACAGCATCACCCTCTCCTGGTCCCAGCCTGACCAGCCCAATGGAGTCATCCTGGACTACGAGCTCCTGTGTTATGAAAAGGTATCGCATCCTTCCTCCAAGCCTTCACTGATCACTTCCTTTTGTCCCTATCCAACTAAATCAATTCCACCCAAATGGTAAAAATGAATCTTTTATTTACAGAGGTGGGAAGTAACTAAGTACATTTACTCAAGTACTTAAGTACAATTTTGAGGTATTGGACTTTTATGCTACTTCATACTTTTACTGCACTACATTTACAAGTAAATTAATGTTATTTAACTCTTCTACATTTATTTAACAACCAAATGCATTTCTAAAAAATAAACTAGTTTACTCTATAATTCACAAAAGATTCAAATGATTCAATATTTTTATGAAAAATCAAACGGTAAAAGGCTACTTGATGCAACAATATTATTTAAAATTGTCACATATATGAAAAATAATTATACACACACATAAAGGACATTTTGCACAATAATTACTTTAACTTTTTTAACTAAGTACATTTTTCTGATAATAATATTGTACTTTTACCAAAGAAAGATTTTGAATGCAGGACTTTTACTTGTAATTAAGTATTTTGACAATAATGTTTTGGTAAACTCACATATACTGTTTATTTATTTTAATTCAGAATACCCCCTCAGTATCGTCAGCACGTCCTACGAGGCGTACAGTCAGAGCTTCTGAACGTTGCTTAGAACTTCTGCTCATTCTCTTCCAATTATAATCACGGTCAGTCACTGGAAAAGGAAACGGCTCTCAGCCCCGCAGTAGGGCCGCTGGGGATTGATGTGCAGAGACTTGCGGTTGAAACAATGATTCGCTGACTGCTGTAAAAATAGTATTCGAGGGGCAAGCTCCATACTGTCTCACAAGAACACTCGCAGTCACAAATGTGCTGTTTTGATTCAATGCAAAATGATCACTTAAATACATGCAGCCCTTTCACAGACATAGACAATCAAGCATGTATACGCAGCGTTTGTCTAGCTTTCTTCCACACGCTGAGCCGTTCCACATTTGAATATAATTCCCCTTTTCTGACACTGCTGGAGAGAGCTGTCAAAACAATTGTCCCGGCCCCTGCTGTGGCTCAGAAGTGTGCAGAGAGCAGCGGGTTGAAGGCAGCAGCTAAAGGAGTCTCACTATCCGCTCTCAGACCTGTCGAGGAGAGGGGGACCGCAGTGAGATTCAGCTCTGATCATCAGAAGGCATGACTCAGAAAGGCCCGTCTGACCTGAAACTGCCACCATATTTACCTTCTTATCTGCAGCTGCTGGATGTGCTCCTCTTTCAGTCCTGCTGCTTTATCTAACATTCTTTTTCTGCTATCAAATCATGGGATTTGCTCTATTGTGGTCAATGTGGTAATTTATGGGATGAGTAGCCCTGATTTTTCTCTACCATCCCTGCTCTCAGTATTTTAGTTACAGTCTCAGTGTAGGATCTTTTTTTTGCTTAGTAATAAAACATTTACAATTGTATTTGCCTATACATGGCTTATTTATGTATTTTTGTATTTTATTTTATTTAGTCCATGCAAGAGATACACATCTCAGGACAGTATGTTGACACGACAATACTAGCTTGTATACCAACAATATATAAAAATAAATATATTACAAATAAAAGTCAAAACAGAGGTGATAGGATCCCTTCAACATTTCAAATAAAGAATTTGACAGATCAATACACCCAAGAACCAAGAACACACATGACATGCAAAACATTTAAATTATTCCATATAATTCAATTCCAATTGTGTTGTTTTGTGTCACCTTGTAATGGTTTGATGGCGCTATTTCTTTCAAAAAGAATTGGCTGTGCAATGTCCTCAAAAAAAGTGCTGAGCTTAGTGATACTGTTGTATCATGTATCCCAGATCCAACCCATAGACTTTATATAAACATCATACCCTATCATATCCTTTATTCTTGTGACCTTTCACAATAACAGCTGTAAATATTTACCATGTTGCTTTTTCTTCTCCTAGGACCAATCAGAGGTTAATGCTACCGCCATCAGGAGCCAGACCAACACAGTGGTGATCCGCGGCCTGAAGCCAGGAAGCATCTACGTGTTCCAGGTCCGGGCGCGCACCGTGGCCGGCTTTGGACGCTACAGTGGCAAACTGTACTTCCAGACCATGACTGAGGGTGAGAATTCAGCTAATGTTCCTAAAAGCACGCAGAGCTGTCGTCGCCTCTCATGCGCTGCCCATCGAGCCACCATGATATGGATGCAGACAGCTGCGGGGACGAAGGGAGTCATGTTGTGGAGTAAACAGTTCAAATACCCCAAAACCAGATCAGTATGGCATGGAATGTATTCTGTCCTTCTCAGCAATAGAAAACACCCCACATGTTATACTGTCATTATTTTGTTATTCATATTCCAGCATTCATGATTTCTTTCCTCGATGTGGTACACGAAAGCCATATTTTTATACCAAAGATAGCTTTTGCCATTTTTCACCCTAAGCCTTTGAGTCAAGGATGAGGTCGGAGTTGTCTTATCTCTGAAGAGAAACGACTGGGAGAATATTGAGTAAACATCAGTCGTACGGGCTAATGTTAGAGTCAGGCCTGGGTTTTTCCCTCTGAACATCTCATTTCCTTCAGCCTGCAGCGCCCAGGGCCATCATTACCCCGAGCCTTCATACCAACATCTGATGCTGCCACACACACAGATCCCAGCGCTACAGATATATCTAAACTGAGTAAACTGAAGAATAAATGAATTTAGCTTTTACCTTTTTTAAAGGGAAGTATATTAGTTTGAAGTTATTCTTTAAATGGATTTTGTGTCCCATCCAAAAGTTGTTTCCTGCTCCAAGAAGACACTTATAACTCTTGTTTAAGGTCACAATATCCTTTTGTTTTAATACAGCTCTGAACATATTTAACAGGAGGGAAAAAGATGAAGCATTTAGTGTTTGCACTATAAACATTATTTTCAAACCCTGATTTCTGTATCAATTGGATTTTTATGTTACAGATATTCCAAGTGAACACTTATCTGTTCCGTTATTTATTTTGTAATACTTTACCAGTGGTACCTCAAATGAATGAATGCTGTATTTCAGAGTTTTAAACAATTCAAATGTTAAAGGCCTTTGAGTTCTCCCTCTCTGGTTAAAGTTATGGGTAACACTTTACTCTTAATTCCTAATATTAAGCATTTATAAGGAGTATATATACGCTTTTCATAAATAGGTACACATTAAAATGCAGTAATGCTTTGTCAAATACCAAACATCTTCCTCTTGGCACATTACTAGAGGCTGCTGTGGTAACAAATGTAAAACATTGTTTTTGTCATAGAAAATGTGTTTTTATAGGAGAATGTTGACAAATACTGAAGATGAAGTAACACTGTTGACACATAATAGAGCTTTATTTCTCCATGTATTTAATGTTCAGACAGTATTGATGTAGTAGACGGTAATACTTTTTGGTTTTCTATGGTATAATAGACAATATTCATGCTATCCAGAAGCAGAAAAAGAAATGTGAGGATCTTACTAATAATTGTATCTGGCTAAAAACTGGGAAGTTGTGTGTCATTTCCAGTGCTCCAGAGAAGGGCCTGGCTCTGCTCTGTGGGCTCGTTCAGTGTCTGGATCCTGCTCTTGGCTCCCTGATCCGTCTGGGTCGCACCCAAACATGCTCTCTCTCCTTACTTCACACGCTTTCTGCCAGATGATTTGTCCATATCTGCGGCATCTGAGCACATTCAGCTTTTGGAAAAAATCTTCCATGCAGTCAGTCAAGATGCCAAGATAATCGCTGGTTCACCCGGCCATATGTCCGTCTGTCACCCATCGCCCGCTCCATATGCAACGGCTCAGATGCTCACCCATATGTTACAGCTTCTGACTGTGTGTGTGTGTGCTTGGCACTCTGTTTATGTATGTGTTTCTTCTTTTTTACAGAGGAATACAACACCAGTATTCAGGAGAAGCTACCTCTCATCATCGGCTCGGCAGCTGCGGGCTTGGTCTTCCTCATCGCTGTGGTCGTCATCATCATCGTCTGCAACCGGTGAGTCAGTCGAGTCTCAGTCTCTTTAAACAAGCATGCTGTGAACCAACAAAACAGCTACACAGGCTGGTGAAGTGGAATATTTGTTCCTTTTTTGTGGTTTAGCTTCAAGGTTGCATGAAGTCTGTTAGCTTGTTAGCAGACAGTATTAACCTGCTTCTATGGAATAAGGTCTGTCGGTCTATTTATATACATCTTCTGAAAATTGCTCTAAGAAGTGTGTGTAAGTTCATTCAGAGCAAAGAAAGAACGAGTCAAATTCCTTGTATGTACTCACTCTCAATGTGAGTTGTACAGATAAAACCATCTGGTTTCCAAGATATTAATTCTTAATAGATTCCAGTCTTTCAGCAGCAGAAATAACACATATACTGTAGGTCAACATCGCTGACATTACATTTCTGTAGGTGATCCAGCTCAGCGAGAATCAAATGGTTGTTACTCTGCCAAGGTTAGGATTTCAGTTCCCGCTGGGGCCACTCATATTAAAACTGCAGCTTAGCTCCTGCTCACTGTTTTGATTCACAGACAAAATTGAACAAGAAGCATTTCTGACTATATCTTGCTAGTAGATATACCGCAGTATACTTCTTTCTTGGATAATGACAGACTAATGGCAAAGGATAACATGAGGTACATGAGATAACATTTCTGTATTAATCCCCTAGCGGAAATTGTGCATTGCATTTTTGGTTATTGTGGGAACATCGCCTGGACAAAATGGAAGAGTGTGTGATTGAGAGTTTTGCAAACTGTTGGACAGTTCTATTGCACTGTGATGGCCCATCACAGGACCTAACAGAGATATTTAAATATGTCCTTGTCAAACTTCTCGCCAGTTAAAACTTAGCTGACAAATTGGTAATGAAGTTAAAGAACATACTGCAATGTGTTGAAGCTAGTGTTGAATAATAGTTCCCATTATAATGGGGTGAACAAGGCTAGGGACTGATGTGGCACTAAAAGCGGAATGGATTGGAAAAACACTCAATTTGAAAAGTGTGTTGACAAAATGATGTAAACATTTTATTGTGGAGCCTACCTTGTGATTGATGGCTTGCTAACACTGTGTTGTTGGTCAATGATGCTTTCAGTGTTTTCTTCTTCCAACGATCATCAGAATCAGGTTTATTGCCAAGTAGTTGTACACATACAAGGAATTTGCGTGTGTGTATGGTGCATACATAGACACAAATGACTAAGAATTGAATAAAAGAATGCAGTAATGGAGTGTATGTGAAGTGGAGAGCGGTGCAGATGATAAAAAAAGGTAACCTTGAAGAGGAAAGTATACAGAGAGATGTGCAGGGTTCACAGTATTATAAATAACAAGATATTGATATGCATGAGCATTAATGCATGTTTATGGGGTTTTTCTAACATTTCGGTCACCTTTTGAAGGCTGTATAAAAAACCAATGCTGATATTTTCCGTATAAATCTATGACATGGACCAATAATTGGAACGAATCTGCCCAGAAGAGGTGGAGGAAATCGAATAAATATTCGTGTAGTGTAGCTGGTAGCTGGCAGCTGTTTCCACTGTAGCAAACAAACAAATGCCTCCCTGGCTCTGCCTGTGATCTCTGTCAGTGTATCTTTAGTGCAGGTACACCTGGGGGTGTTTGATCTGTGTTCCTGCCCCTCCCTGCTCTCTCTTTTGAACCGGAGCTAGAGTTCTTTGTCTTTCCCCCAGGAGGCGTGGCTTTGAACGAGGTGATTCAGAATACACGGACAAACTGCAGCACTACACCAGTGGCCACAGTGAGTAAACCCCCATCAGCACCGCACACACCTGTCTCCATGACTACCAACTCACACAGTCATCACCATGGCTGTCATTCAGCCCCTCCGCTGCCTCACACACCTGTCTCCATGGCTACCACCTTGCATGCTGGTGTCCTTGGCTACGGCCCAACCACGGCACAGCTTCATTTGCCCCCCCCTCCTTGCGAGTAATCCTGCCTGTTGTTTGACTCCGCTCGCTCGGAGCCCGGATTTAACCACATCAAAAAACAAGTTTCAAGTGTGTGTTCTGTGGATCATCACGTTTCATAACCAAATCCATTTTGGTGGAAATAGGTCAGTCTTCACTCACGTTAACCCCATTAGCATGCTAATGCCAAATGCGTCATTTTCCATTGTTGGGAACATTCTAAAGACTGTGTGAATGAATGGGATATCTCAATGATTTCCTGGGTTCATACGGTACAGTAGCAGAGAGCTTAAATGACAGTATTACAGAAATAAATCTGGAAGAGAAGTCATTTCCTCTTGACTTTTTCTAAGATATTAAAGCTAATCCATCGTTCTTCTGCATGTTTAAAAAAACGCAGATCTCTTTAATTCCTCAAGTTTATGACCCCATTTTAATTTGTGTATTTGATTGTGTAATTATCTCCCTGCTTCTTCCTGTTTATGCTAATTCCACTCTAAAGGTAACACAATATAATCCGATCACTCTGTGCCAAGAAGTCCAGTCTGTGCTTCAGAGAAATGTGGGCCAGTATGACATTTTACAGCTATTAACAGAAGCCAATGTGAGCCTCCTGTCCTCTCACCAGTCAACAGTTCATGCCCCTGTTTTTTGTTGTCTTTGCCATTAAAGGAGGGTGGTCTGTTGAACACTGCTTCAGCTTGGGAAGAGATTGTGAGGTTTTAGTGATGGGGGTTTTTTCTGGTCAGATCCTCACCATCTGTTCATCTCTGCAGCACTTTTTTTCAGCTTAGTGTGCCAGGGTTTTAGGCGGTGTGCATGTTCTTCTAGCTCTCCACCAGCCAATGCATGAATTCAGCATCCATTCAAATAGCCTCAGGCCTGATGTGGAGGTGAGAGCTGAATAATCGGATTTAAAACTCAGGCCACTTAAGTCCCTGCACACTTAAAGGCCACCTTAAGCCAATTTACCTGGCATCAGGGCTTAAGAGGGACAATTTATTTCTTGGAGCAGAGCTGAGAGGTGCTGATATAGGGCCCCGGTTTTTCGCCTGAGTGTTAATGGCACTATGACTCACAGGAGATGAGGATGCCTTATCACAGCAAAGAAGACGGGCAGTAACTTGTCCTTGCTGACTGAATTGCTATACAAAGTAGTAGTACGAGACACTAGTCTTAACCACCATTTGTAACTACACCACCTCCTCCATCTCTTAACCTTCATCACCCTAATGCCTTCCAGGAAATGTAATGAGTGAATGCAAGAGGAATTGTTAATGTGCCTGGATACATATGACTGTAAAAGTAGTCTAAGGATGACCAGAAACCAAATATTATAGAGGCTCTTTCTTTTTCCAAGTGACTCCAGGAATGAAGATATATATTGATCCGTTTACATATGAGGACCCCAACGAGGCTGTGAGGGAGTTTGCCAAGGAGATTGATATATCCTGTGTGAAGATTGAACAAGTCATCGGAGCAGGTAATGGAAAGATCTGACTGAAACGTGAATGGAATATCACACTTTCAATATTCAATATGTTGGAAAATGTATTGATTGCTGTTTTCTAACTTACACCCTTATTAAACTCATTTACACCCACATTACTTAGTTATTACACCCATGATAAACCATTATTACACCCTTATATACCTATGTTACACTGTTATTAGACCAAAATTAAACTCATGTAGCAGCACCATATTACACCCCTACTACACTGTCAACACACCCATATTACACATGTATACACCCATGTTACACTATTATTACACCTATACAGTATAACACTGTTATTAGACCCATATTACACCCATGTAACACCATTAATACCCATAGTACACCTTAAAATACACATGCAGTTATTACATACATTTTACACATGAGCAACACCTATCAAATACATATATCCCATAGGAAACAGAAACAATTTAAGGGATAAAATAACTTGATTTCTAAATAAGATCACCCTGAGTTTAATAGAACCATTGCTTTTTTTCTCATGCTATTTCTTCACAGGAGAGTTTGGAGAGGTTTGCAGCGGTAACTTGAAGCTCCCGGGTAAAAGAGAGATGTTTGTAGCCATAAAAACTCTGAAGACTGGCTACACTGAAAAGCAGAGGCGAGACTTCCTGAGCGAGGCCAGCATCATGGGCCAGTTCGACCATCCAAACATCATCCACCTGGAGGGCGTGGTCACCAAGAGCAGTCCTGTCATGATCATCACTGAGTTCATGGAGAACGGCTCTCTGGACTCCTTCCTCAGAGTAAGCAACTACTATTTTTGATTGTTTGTGTTGTCTTCATGTGTGTCACCAAGCAACAGCATCTGGTGCTGAAGTATGAAGCTAACACGTACAATTGCTAATTCTTAAATGGCCTCTTAAGGATGTTTCCAAAAGCCCATGTGAAATTGGCCAACTTCACAGCAGATATCAATTGTTTACAGCATGGGAGTTATGGCTAATTTTCCCTTTATTACAACCCTCAACCATTGAAATGATTTAAGGCAAGGCTATCTCACCAGTTTTGAATTAGCCAAGAGTTGGGAGAAGTTTGCATTGCTAAGATTGTGATGGGTGGAGCAACCCACATTCAGCTTTACAATGGTTCTTCAGAAATCAATGGGTGAACTACATTCATGTTTTTACACGGTCTGTCTCACCTAAGATATACAATTTGTATTTAAAAAACGTTAGTAATTAAAGGCCTGTGGTCTATACAATATAAATCAAAATGTGATTATGCCAGGAATAAACCTAAATTGATTCGTCTTATAGAAAATATCTGATAATGTAAGTTAGTGAAGTTGCTTTTTCCTGCCAGGTCAGACAGGAAACAGAGCAATTCCAGTCACATTTATTAAAATATCACACTTGTATTTATTATATGTATATTTGACATCAATAATATTGGATCTATACTGATGTAAGTTACATTTGCATATTTGGTAATAATGTATAAAGCTGACAATGTTTTTATATTAAACTGTTCCTAATGCTGCTACTATTGACAGCTCGGAACTGTAGCTGCATAAGCTAACATTAGCATTAGCATCACTGACTGACAAGATGAGCTGCTTCGCTGCTTTGAATCCGAGAGGTCTCGATTCAGAGCTTTTATTTTGATATGCTTCTAAAATTGAAGTGCTTGACTTTTTTTTAAACCCTGCTTGTCAGTGTCTGTTAACTTTGACAACTGCCAAGCTTCCTGTCAGAAATGTACAAGACAGCATGCAAAGTGCGTGTTGTGATGTTTTGTTGTTCCTCACAGCATTGACATTAATCAACAAACTGCTCACATTTAATTGCCATTATAGTCAGTGAAATGAATAATTTTCAATTCAAGCTACACATTTGCAAAGACATTGTTTATAATGTTATACTTGAATGAAATGTACTCTTTCAATTGTGATGTAAAAAAAATAGTGCTTTCGTTTGATAGATATCTGATAGATAAGGATTCATCTTCATGATGCACAAACACTGACACACACACTCTTGTATGTACACACATATTTGTTTAGAATTTGACACGGTTTATACACTCATGCTCAGTAACGCCACTTCAAATACTTGCTAACATTCACAAAATACGGTCAATCATAAGTTCCTCAGAGGTTTTGTCGGTTCCAATAATCTACACTATTTACTCTTACAGATGATCTGCTTATGGCTAGTATTGATGTTTTATATTCCATATTTTCTCTGACAATCAATACCATTATCCACATAATAACAGGGTCTTGAGAGTGCATGGCTTTTGACTCTGTTTGATGTTTACCTATTTTTTTATGGAATTCATTGCACTCTTAGTCCTCTACTTACTATTCAGCGCTATCTGGATGCGTAAAAAATACTGCACACTTGTGTTTCCTTGACTTCCTGACAACAATTATGCAGAGCTCACAGGCTCAAGGGATTTTTTTCATAATCTAACCAGAGAAAGATACTGCACAGAACCGGCCATGCTCCCTCATTTACTACCTGCATACATCATTTAAATACTTTGCAAGAGTTAAAATGAGATGTCAGATTAAAAAGATGGCAATGAGATGAGATGCCACACAGACTTTCACTATCTGTCTTTGGAACTCAGTGAAATAAAAACGTAAGCTTTCAAAAAGCTCCCTTCTCAATTTTGACAAAAGCAGAATAGGACCTCCCTCAGATTTATAGAATTTAGTTTTATACTTTGAATGGTTTAATGGGAACTGTCAATTTAATGTAACACTGAGAGTATGCCAGCGTTTTGCCACAATGCCAGATTATAATTAATACGAGCCATTGCCTTTCCTGAAGTAAAACGTGTGGTACACCATATTCTTTAAGGAGCCCTATTATGCAAATGTTCATGTTTATATTTATATGTTGTGCCTCTGCATGTCTCCATGCTTTAATGTTCAAAAAGTCTTTATTTTTCTCACACTGCCTGTGCTGCAGCACCTCTTTTCACCCTCTGTCTGAAACCAGAGCCCAGTCTGCTCTGATTTGACCAGATCAGTTGTGATTGGTCAACCACTTAGACATGTATAGCCAATCATGTCAAATGTATTGAAGTGCTAATCAATAGAAGTGCGAGTATTACGTAGTGATGTCATTATGTTGCGGAAGTAAACAAAGGAGTCAATTTGAAATGTTTCAGGCAGGGGGGGGGGGGGGTGGGGGGGGGGGGGGGAGTGTGTGGGAGAGAAACTTTGGGATGTTAGCCTTTGCACACCATTTACATGCAGACCTGTATAACACACTACAGTAACGGGAAACACCCCATGAAAGCATAGTAGGGCCCCTGTAACTGCAGTACAAAAGCAATATGCCATCAATAGTTGTTCTACATATGTGTAGTATATTGTGAATTAGGCAGGCAATTATTAAGAACCATTTATTTCATGTAAATTAAAGAACTAAACAGCATTATGAAATTGCCTGAAAACTATATCTTGTTGGGGAATTTTCTAGTGTTTAATACCCTCCCTGGAAGTGAGTTTAAGCTCTCTGCTGCAAGCCGACATCAAACACTTCCTTAAGAAGAAGACTGCGAGCTCCTGTCAGCACGCTGGTGAGACTGAGGCTATATTTGCATTCTGCCTCCCGACCTCGGAGGCACAAAGCATCAGCTCTTTTTGGAATTTGATCTCGCGGTGAAGGGTGTTTGTGTCCATGTAGATGTTTGCTAAACATATTTGACAGCGCATTGTATTGAAAACAACAGGGAACTTCTGTGTCTCCTGACAGTGGCAGTTCATGACAACAATTGCTGACAGTGTCAAAGCCTCTGAACACGGTTTCTTGTCTCCTTTGAGGTGACTGGTGTAAAATGGTTACTGAAGTCTGTGCTGAGCTGCCTGCTGAAGGATTGTCACCTCCTGCAGAAAAACACCTGCAGGGTAGAGAGACAAAGATAATAGATCAATCAGGGATGGACCGGTGCCTGGAACCGACTATAAGCTATAAAAGAACAAATGCCTATGTTTGATACAAAACATGAATTTAATAGAAATCCACACAGTTAAAATTCTTCCACTTAACTCGACCTCACAGACTCTGGAGGAATCCTGCCAATTAAAGTTTATGCAAGCACAGCAAACAGATTTAGTTGCAATGTTTATTTGTGAGAAAGGCTCCATGAATAATGCATTTTGCTTAATTGCCATGGTGCACGAGGAAGAGCAGCTTGACGTGAGGAGAGGCATCCGCCAGGCTAATGAGCAGCACTGTTTGAATGAGAAATAGGCTAGTGGAGCGGTCATGCAGCAGTTAACATGGCGGCGCCCGGGGCACTGCTCTCCCTGCCCTTCCAACTCCCTCTCTTGGCCTTTCCGTCAGTTCACGCACTCCTCCGACTCCCAGGCTCCATTCTCTGGAATCCCCGGTTTTCCGGGCGTCGTGGTGGGTGGTGGGGCGAGTGCAGGTGTGCACAGTTGGAGGCACAGCTGCACCAGAGCTCCAGACGCTCCCCATGCATGGGGTAAAGCCCCTCACCAAACCGAGGAGGGGAACAGCTGTAGACAGCCAGCCAGACCCCGGCTTAGCCCTGCAGAGGCCAGCCCAGACCTGGCCCTCAGTGTCCTGCAGGGCCTCTTCGCAGAAACTAATACCATAAGTAACTTTTCTACATTAGCCACATCCGGGTTGGGTTACAAGGAGACATGTCACAATAAAATGATTATAATTTCTCTAAAATGTGTGAATTGGGAATCAATTTTGCACATTATTTTTGAATAGAGGGTGCATAAATTAGTTCTTAAAGTAAAATTCAGTTAAACAAACACATATCTCTAAGCGGTCGACAAATCACAACAGAGCTGATCAGCTAACCAATCAGAGCAGACTGGGCTCTGGTTTCAGACAGAGGGTGAAAAGAGGTGCTGCAGCACAGGCAGTGTGAGCCAAATAAAGAGCTTTTTGAACATTAAAGCATGGAAACATGTCACAATAGAGACACCAAATACAAACCTGTAAATTAGCATATGTCCTCTTGAGATGATTGCATTATTCAACATTTCATTTGATTTAGGCCACTTACAGTAAGTGCAGACAAAACATATGGGTTTTCAGTCTGTGATGAAAGATTTGTAGACTTTCTGCTGTCCTAATATCAAATGGGAGCTCTTTCCACCATCAATTTGTAATGGCATAATCTTTTGTTTGCACAAAAATGAGACAACTCAGATATACCGTATATACAGATAATGGACAAAGCCTGTCTGTGTTGCACTCTGTCCTCTGGCACCAACACTAATGCAGCACACCAACAAGTCCTCTATGTTTGTGTGTCTTTAAATGAAATAACAAAATGTAATTGTTTGTACATGTTCTCAGGCTACCCAGAATATATAGTATTGTTTTTAAAGGTATTGTAACAGAAATGGTCTTCTTTTTTCAGCAAAACGATGGGCAGTTCACTGTGATCCAGCTCGTTGGTATGCTGCGTGGCATCGCCTCAGGCATGAAGTACTTGGCCGACATGAACTATGTGCACCGCGACCTCGCTGCCCGGAACATCCTGGTCAACAGCAACCTGGTGTGCAAGGTGTCGGACTTCGGTCTCTCACGCTTCCTGGAGGACGATAATTCCGACCCCACCTACACTAGTGCTCTGGTAAGAAGTGAAGTAATATGAACATTCCTAATGAGAATATCATTCATCAGGTACATGATAGTGCCATTCCTAACAACATGCCCTCACCTGTTCTTCCAGTATTTTATGTACCATGCTTTACTCCCAGGGGTTTTGTTATACCAACCTCCCAGTTAGGGTTACAGTCAGCATTGTTCAAGTGAACCGGTGTCTCTCTCCGGAGCCAGGACACTGTGGCGGTCGGGTTTCGGTCTCGCTTTTCTCTCTCGCTTCCCCTCGCTGAGGTTGTGCTCTTTGTGTTCGCAGGGAGGGAAGATTCCTATCCGATGGACGGCACCCGAAGCTATCCAGTACAGAAAGTTCACCAACGCTAGTGATGTGTGGAGCTACGGGATCGTCATGTGGGAAGTCATGTCCTACGGAGAGAGGCCTTACTGGGACATGACCAATCAAGATGTATGTATTTTTCTTAAATTGCTGTTGATTCTTGAGTCAAATCCCCCCTTAAACATTTTTTAAAACAAAGCCTCACTAGTCACTACACACATATATCATCTTCTTCCTGACTTTCATTACAGCCCCAGAATCCTCAGGGATACATTTTGTCATTGTATCGTCTTTCCCACAGCTTAAACAGCAGCTTTCACTCATGGGTTTTATATGAAAATCCCCCCACACTCACCACAGAGACATAATCAGATCATTTGAAATGCAAGGCAGCGCTCAATGGACAATTTCTGCTCTTGACTGGAGCCTCCATTTTCCTATCTCCCTCTGGGTAGTGGAGGGGGGAAGCAAATTATGGCGCGAGAGATAATGAAAATAGTTTCAAATTGAAAGTGAGAACACAAATGTGCTAAGAGGGACTGAGGACCTCGACGGTTATCTTATTAGCAGCTCCAGACAGTGTTTCTGCTCCATCGGGGTCCCCGTTTGGAGGTCTCATGAATGAGATTAATCTGAGGCTGAATGGAGCTCCTTTAATGGAACTGGTAATGAGCAGGGGATCGTGCGTCCTCGGCGCAAGTGTCCTCTGGGTTATTGCACTCTGTTAACAGAGCAGCACCTCTGCACGCACCTGGACCGCCAACATCACCGGCCCCCGCCAGACAAGTCCTTAATGTAGGCTTTGCAGAGAGAGTGAGCACTAAATACTTTGTAAAGGCCACAGATGAGGTCACAGCTGGCAGAAATGTGTAGTAGTTGGAATAAGGTTTATGTTCCTAATGACCCGACTGGTGTTTAACAAGTCTTCACATTGAGAACTAATGCAGTGATTTGTGCACAAATATATATCTTAATATGTGTTAAAGTAATAGCTAACAGTTTTGACTGTTAGGCAGTGAGACAAAGTAATGACTACAGCAGTTGTTTTCACCACATGGTGAAAGGCACAGATTACATTATTATATGTTCACAGAAGAAAGGGCATCAGCGCATGTATTTATTCCTGATTAGCCTGTTGTTAACTTTACATAAAGAGGCCCTATTATGCTTTTTGGAGTTGTCCCTTTCCTGTAGTGTGTTATATAGGTTTGCGTGCATTTAAATGGTCTGCAAAGGGTCAAATCCCAAAGTTTCCTCCAGAGGGAGTTTCATCTTTAAATTTGGGGTACTGTAAACACATACGTAGTTTGAGGAATGTATTTACTGTACTTTTGTATTGTATGCTACTTAACAGCTTACTATACTATACTTACCACAGGTACTATTTTTACTGCTTTAAAAGTATCAACTTAAGGCCCTATGTTAAGTACAGTTCTAATTTAATCAAATAGTAATATTTCATATTCCACAGAAAAAGTAAAGCTCAGAGAAAAGTCTGATCATTTCAGAACCTTTTTTTCTAAATACCATGACACCTCAATTTATCTTCTTACCATTTTGGAGCAAATAACAGTAACTGTTTATAATGCAGTTAAAACTGGCTCCACCTTAACCTGCTACAACAACAACATTTTATTTACCCATTGATTCATACCTATAAACCATCAAATCATTTCTTATGAATTACACATTCAATCAAAGGGCATTGTTTTCATCATTAAGTACTTTTGATACCAATATGAATGCAGCAGGACATTTACTTGTGATGCAGAACTGTATTAGAACTCATACTGTAGAAAAGAACATTAGTACTTCTTCCACTAGGACAGAAACAGTAGTTTCCTCTCCATCGATCTCCTCTGTAGAGCCTCATAGCAACCCTTAGAGATCTCTGTCTCCCCCTGCAGGTCATCAACGCCATAGAGCAGGACTACCGGCTGCCCCCCCCCATGGACTGCCCCAGCGCGCTGCACCAGCTCATGTTGGACTGCTGGCAGAAGGACCGCAACAACCGGCCCAAGTTCAGTCAGATCGTCAACAACCTGGACAAGATGATCCGCAATCCCAACACGCTGAAGGCCATGACCCCGTTATCTTCAGGGTGAGAAGACCACATTTGTTTTACTCGTGTTTGCACTATCTCTCAGTATTACTCATAGTCAAAACACATGGTGGGGATGAGTGTTAAACGTATGCTCTTCTCCTTTTCCCCGGCTCTGTCTTCACTCTCCGTGCGGGATCTGCATGTGTGTTGTATCTCGTCTCTGCGGGAATCCCACTAGACGGGTCTCTGGTTTTAGCATTATTTCCCATTAATGTGGATAACATCTTGAGGAATATAATGCATCTAATCTTCTTTTAATGTAAAGGCTTTCCAAACAGGAAATTCATGCTCCTGCTGAAGTGCCATCCGTGGACTTATTTTCCAAAACACAGTGGCTCTTGTTTCTCCTGGCGCCGAGCGGTTATGTAAATTAAAGCTTTCGGTTTGATCGATCAAATCCTCCCCACGAAACACTTCAGGCGAAACCTGAATTGAAGCAGTCCTGCAATTTTCAAAACAAAACATTTTGTAGCGTTTCTGCTCTGGGTGTTAGTTTCCTTTGAGGGTTTCCTGATTTCCATTATCCCTGTCTGTACTTTCATTTGTGGTGGCGTGCAGCACCGAGGGCCAGATTTTTCCGCAGACACTGAGGGGATATATTGGCTCCTCGAAGCCTATCACTTCATTTGGAAAATAGGCTTTATGAGGAATCCGTTTGGAAAATATTGGTTCATGGATAAGGCCACTGGGAATTTATTGAGTTCTGTCTAGTCTTTTGAACATCTAATCTAATAATTCACGTTTGAATCACAGGCAGGTGGTCTCGGGTGTCTATGATTTTGGACCTGCCATTTTGTATTACTATTAATCTTAACGGCCTGCATGTGTCCCCCCTCAGTGTTCATCTCCCCCTCTTGGACCGCAGCATCCCCGACTTCTCCAGCTTCAGCACCGTGGACGAGTGGCTGGATGCCATTAAGATGGGCCAGTACAAAGACAATTTCGCCGGCGCTGACTTTTCTACGTTTGATGTGGTGTCCCAGATGACCATGGAGTAAGTGCTGAAAATTCCTGCAGTTCTGGGTCTGATAAGCAGAAGGAAAGAGGCCAGTTTGCTGAATCTCGTATACCCCCAATAGTTTAATTACCACCAGACTCTTCCTCTGGCCCGTTATAAAACACGCTAGCTACTCTGTATGTAATTAGCAGATCGTAATTCTGCAGTTACAAGGCTGAACAGTGGGTACAATAGCTTGAAGGCATAACAGTGCCCTTTTATTCTCTGCCATGTGTTTAGCAGGTCTCTCTTTGACCTTAGTTTCACAATTAAGAGGAACCATGATAATGTGGGGTTAGTTAGCGAAAAATATTTGGAGTAAAACACACAAGCAGGGTTGGGAGGGTTACTATAAAAATATATTCCGTGACAATGACCAGTTACCTGTAAAAAAGAAGCAATCAGTAACCTAATCTGAGCATCAAAATGTAGAAGTAATGTAACCTGATTACTTTCTGTTACAGTACCTCAAAATTAAATGCAATCCAAGATAAAGAAAATATAATAAGATCCTTAAGTGTTTTATATAGGACAACAGAAGTCTGTCTAAAATCTGAGCTAACAGAAAATGCTAAATGTTTTGTTTAATACATACAGGTAAGCTTACGCACTATTTGATGAATATACAGTATAGGTTCACTAACAGAATTTAAAAAAGAATATCCATAGAAAGTTAAAACATGAAAGCAAATTCAGGCAGTAAGTGTATGGATTCACACTTAAAGTATTAGACAACAGAACAGTACAGTACTTTTTTACTAACATTATAATCCTGCGTGTAATCCCTGGTAAAAAAAGTGTGTCATTTTAAGGGAATACAGTTACCTTTTTATCGGTTTATTGATTACGTAATCCTGTTACATGTATTTTGTACTCCCCAAGCCTGCAAACAAGACCTTATTATGTGAGAAGGCCTCCTGCAGAGAGCCTGATCAAAATAATTTCCTGTCTGTAACAGTATCACGAGGCAAAGATTAAACCACACACATGTTAAGCTTCAACTCTTTGAACCAAACAGATTGTAATGTATAATCCAATGAATTTGATTTCTGTGGATATTCAGAGTAAGAGGAATTTCATTGTGTAATGGATAAGAAACTATTGGCACATTATTTTGTCTCGAGCTTATGCCCTTTCCTTGATATAATGCAACATTTTCTTCTTACTTCTGTAGTTTTACAAGGGCCCTATTATGCTTTTGGGGGGTTTCCCTCCCCTGTAGTGTGTTATATAGGTTGTTGTGCATGTAAATGGTCTGCAGAGGCTAAAATCCCAAAGTTCCCTCCAGTGGGGGTTTCTCTCCCTCTTTGTTAACTGCCATTAAATAAGGACATCACTATGTAACATTCACGCTTTTATCAACTAGCGCTCAAACACATTTGACATGATTGGCTAAGGGGCGGGACATCTCTGAGCAGTTGACCAATCACAGCAGAGCCGGCCAGCTAACCAATCAGAGCAGACTGGGCTCTAGTTTCAGACAGAGGGTGAAAAGAGGTGCTGCAGCACAGGCAGTATGAGAAAAATAAAGACCTTTTGAAACATTAAAGCACAGTAGAGGCACAAAACACAATTTGATTCTGAAAATGAGCATAAATTGTCCTCTTTAAATATCATAACCTCTAGGGTGAACATTATGTCTGCATTGAGTCAATGATATGTTGTGATCTTGCGATTCTCAGCATTTGTTTTGGTGGTATGAGATCACCCGGGTGTACCGCATATAGACAATTACACTAAACTGGAATCCAAACGTTTTTCTACGATTATATAAGCTCTCCGCCCTCGAAGATGGATGAACATGCAGCTGTTTCATGCCTCTTACTTTACTGTCATCTTAGTTTTCATATGTTTTTTCACCAGCTGTTCCCCGCTGGCCTTTGTCATCCATCCATATGTCGTATTGTTAGATGATGTTGTCGTTTCGAAGCTATATGCTAAGCAGATCTGCCTGACTGTTAATAGTCTGTGGTCACATAATCCTGACATCTGTCTCCTTGCAGGGACATCCTGGGAGTCGGGGTGACGTTAGCGGGCCATCAAAAGAAGATCCTCAACAGCGTCCAGATGATGCGGGCACAGATGAACCAGATCCAGTCGGTGGAGGTTTGACCCTCCCGAGCGGAACCGAGGGGGGAGAACAAAAGGCGGTTGGGATGCAGGGCTCTGGGTGTGGAGGATGGAGTGGATGGTTTTTTCGCGTTACAGTGTGTCTGGACTTCCCACCAGGCTACCATTCATCCCCCCCCGCCCGGTTCCCCTCTCCACTTCCCTCTCTCCTCCTCTTATCCCCTCACCCTGACTCTCCCTCCATCCTGGGATCAGCTGTTGAAACAAAAGTCCCAGTGATGAGGCACCAGAGGAGAGCCAACCCCATCTCTGGAGTCAGAAACATGGGAGGTTAGACGTGACCAGCAACAACAAAAAATTCAATCAATCTTCCACCAATTTTCATTTGATGTTTTTTTTTCTTTTGGTTTTGTTTGTTCTGATGATTTTGTAAAGAATTTTTAAAGGAAAAAAAAGAAAAATAATGAGAAAAGGCAAGGAGTTTATCTAAATTTATAGATGATATAAGCTTGTACACTAGACGGACTGAGTAGGAAAGCTACCCTTTAAAAGGGCGAGAAAACAAGGGAGAGTTGAGGAGACGAGGCCATCCTCTGCAAGGTGACAATATTGTCTTTTTTGCATCTTTTTAATTTTGGGACATCATGAGGACATCAGAGTTTTCTGTGGCCTTCAGAAAGGAAGAGGAGACTGAAGAGCCCAACGTGCACTCCCAACTGTTTCCCCAGGAGAGAACATGCATTTTTAAAAACCATCAAATGGACAACATTTGGCAAAGACTGATGTCAAAAACACATTCATTCAGACTGACAATTCACACAGTGAAAAAGAAAAAAAGGTTTCTCATTGCAATTATTTTCTATATTGTGTGAAATGTTGTGATGAAGAACTCCGCCTCACCATGCTTCCTCTCACTATAGACAAAAGTGTTTTTCTTTCTTTCACAGTGAACTATTCACAGCCTGCCAAATAGAACTCTTCCCTTTTTTTTGCACCCTGTACGATGATCCTGTATTGTACATATCAGATGCACTTGACCTGCCATAACTCGGAGACTCAGAAACAATAATCAGCAGAAGAAATGATCGAGAGGAGGATTTCAGTTGTCACCATCCTTTTCTTTCCTTATTTTGTGAAAAAAAAATAGCTTGTGGAGAGAAAACAAAACCGCACGTCCTACGCAGAATCACACAAAATAAAACAGGTTCTACTGTTTACATCAGAGGCCACATACAATACAGGATGTGCTGTTATAGCATCCTCCTTCATCCCCAGTGCCGTCTGTGCATCCGTGCACACACACACACACACACCACGTGCACAACGAAGCAGAGGCTCCCCAAGCGGCAGGACTCGTGTTTGATAGCATGCTGAGTGAGTGGTTAATTTCACAGTGCTTTGATTTGCTGCAATTACTAAAAACTCTGTTTGGTAAGAGCTTGAGTTTGAAACACTTTACAGAGTATAACGTGGCTACATTATTTTCAGTGTTTCTTCTTCTTCCAGTTTTCCTTTTTTGAAAAACATTTTTAAAGTATTAAAGTTGTGATACCACACACGGTTATTTTACACTCACACATAGTCATGGATAGATTTTAAAATCAGGCGTTTGTTGAATTAAATGCAACGTGTTATATTTTTGCAATTTCTGTATGGATATTATTGAATTGTTATTATTACTTTTTTTTATGCACTGAGTCTATTGTTTGACTCCAACAAACACTCTGGATCTTCCATCGATGCTTTTAGACTTTTTCATTTTGAAACATGTTGGTGCACAAATCCATGTAGATAAACAGCCCTGTGAATGGTATTGATTTGATTTTAAAGACAGTATATGCATTTATTGTTGGGCCTCCTGTGAGCTGTCAATCATCGTCTGCGTTGTCCGGGTGACCAGGGTTATGCGAGAGATGAGAGTCCGTAGCAATGCGAGGATTCCCCGGGGAAGTGAATCAGACAGTACACAGCCAGTAAATGATATCAGAGATCCAACGGGGACCTGACAGCCAGACACGGACCTCCAGCTGTGAGCCATCGGTCAGATGTGTCCGGCCACAGCGGGGAGGCCGCACCCCGATCACAGCCGCTCTCTCCAGGCACCGATTCTCCCCCCTTGATCACATGCAGGCCTGCCGGGGCCACCTGTCTGCCGCTCCCACTGATCTCCAACCAGCAGTTGTCTGGTTTCGTCTCTGCGACTTTATAAGCATCAACAGGCGAACAGCGGAGACACTCATCAGTGGGGCAGTTGTGTCTTGTCCTGTCCTGATGCTGCATGACAAAGAAAGGCTTGACAATGCTTCCACACTGAGAAAACTAGAACGTTTCAGCTAGCTTATACAGTTGTGTGAAATATGTTGACATAATACATTTCATTAAAGTCAACGGTTCAGTTTTTTTCATTGCTTGTTCGCTCAAACCAAATCCTCACACTTGAGTTGTTGTGGCAGCTTTAGCACCAAAGCTCTGATAAAGAAACCTCAGTCACTGCTATCCTGTCATCTTACACTGAAAAAACGGAATTGTTGATATGTCAACAAATTTCACACAACTGTATTAGGTTAGTTGAAAGCAACAATATTACGTTTTCATAGGTTCAACTTGATAGTGTTTCTTCAACTAACCTCATACAGTCCTGTGAATGCCCCTCCATGTTCTTTTGTTCATCTGCAGTGCGCCACATCATAACAGATATTTCCCTGGAAGCTTGTATAACATATGAAAATGGTAGGAGGACAATCATAAGCTGTTAGTCATAGCTGAGAGGCGAGTGAGAAGTGCCGCTGTGACCTAAATGCCACTGATGCCAGCATGCCGTTTGATTTTTATTTAACCAAGCTTTTTGACCGTCTTGCTTTTCCATTTCCCGGTACTTAACAGCTCATCAGATTGTGAGGCTGAGGCTGCACGTCCTCTCATGGTATGGCAAATATTCAACCGTCAGGAAAAACGTTTATTATTGTCCAAGGAATTAATCTAGACTAGAGTGTACACAAGGCTGGTGAGTTTCTGCTCCAACCCCATTAATGGTTGTTCAGATGCTTGTCCGTGGACGCTGCCAAGACTTTGAGTTATTAATCAAGAAATTATCCTTGAACTCTGTTTCAAGGAACTACCTTAAACTGGATGACTAGACATCAAATAGTGCTGAAGTGCACACTGTCAGTATTTTCTTGGGGATACTTTTCCTTCTGAAGGGTTAGTTTGTTGTTTTCCATTTTTATCTGAAGGAGTTTTAGGAGAGCCTTTTTGATTGAATGTCGAGTGTTTGAGAGCACCGCATTAAGTATTTATGTATCTTCTGATTTCGATGGCACAAAAGAGACGCATTGTTGCAGTTTGGAGCTGAGCAATGAAAGAGGGAACAAGAAATTGACCCACTTATGTCGAGTGTTTAAAGTGGTTCTGACTGTTTTTCCCGCCGCAGACTGGCTGCTTTCTTTACACCAAAGCACAAGCTGTGAAAAAAGGCTGTCCGAGACTATTTCTAATGTATAGAACTGGGTTACTAATTCATCTGGTACAGGTTTCATGGAGGGCATATTTCAAAATGTGATTCGATAGGGTGATTACTGTTTCATCACCTCCTGAAATTAAATTGAATACTGCATTGTGTATTACTGCAAGTATCACATTTAAATCCACTGTAAACCAATTCAACATTTAAAAGGTATGTTGGCCCTTTTAAATCAAGTATTATCTCCTCAGATTAAGTTTTACTGTTGGTTTCAAAGCACTAGAACCTGACACCTACACATGCTTTTAAAAACTTTAAACAGTTTTCCTCTGGTAATTGAAGCAGAGTCAGAGTGGTTGTGACACTCATAATGGTTTCACACAATGTTTGCCTACTGCAACTTTCAGCAAAGCTCTCCTTTTACATCTGTGCAGCAAAGTAAAAGAAAAAAAAACACTCAGTCCTGCCCTCACCGTGTGCCAATTGTTGAAGGACGGAGGAAAAAGCGTTAAGTCTCAGTGTTCCTGTTACATGATAGTGTGCATAAACACGAGCTGTGCCAGGTTGTACCCGCTGGGCTGCGTTTGAACGGCGCCCAAACTACAGCATGGTCAGAGCGCCGGGTCTGCCTCCTGTTGAGGAGGAGGACAGAAAATGGCTCCCGTTCAATGGACGCAGCACGAAGCACGAGAGCGCCCTCTACTGCTGCGGTGGTCAAATGTAGCGTGTTGGACTGACTTCTCCAGATGCAAAGCTCCAGTGTTCAGGACGAACGCCGGCTGCTGTATCTTCCCTTGTTGGACAAACTTTCGTACCACTATACCACCCGTATTCCCCATTCATGACCCTGTGTTCCCCCTCTGTCCCCCTCCCCCCCCCCTGAACACCCCCATCCCACTACCACTCTGGTTGTTGTTGGTGTGTACAGGCAAGGGGTCTCAACGTGTTGCCCGGTCCTCTCAAGCCCACATTGTAGACCAGTGCCGGTTCAGACCACTGTGACTCGTGTGGGAGATCCTGTATTTCTGTATAAATGTATATTGACTGTAACCCTGTGAATGATGTAACAATTTCATTATTTGTAATATTGTCATTGGTTTATTTTCTAAAAATGGAAAGCCCAACTTGACTCTCCTCAATAAAAAATCTGTTATAAAATAGTGACGAGTTATTTGTTTTAAAAATGTGTTACTTATTTTTAAAGCCAAAATGAATGTATTCATGTTTTTTTTGTTTTTACAGTGCCAATTTGGACTTTGTTACCCTCATAGTGTGTTATAGTATCATACAAATTAGCAAAATGGAGCTACATCTAACTAAACAAATAGCTGGTGATTCAAGTGTATTCCTTTTATTTTATTTAATTACCGGAAAATGTAACCTGACTAATAATGATTGGATTATTTTTCAATTGTAGTCGTTCAGTTAAAGTCAATGAAAAGCATGTCAGGCCAAATGCAGTAATTACATATTAAAACGTGTTTGTCAATACTATGGTTTAATACAGCAATATTAATCATACCACAAAATAGAAATGTTGACTTTAAATACATTTATTTTGTCAACAGGTTCCCAATAATTGCATTTAGTTAGTTAAAGGCACAAATATTGAATTAATGTAAGTTAATTCACTTGTATAAAATATGTTAACTTGACAAAGACATATATTTTGAGTAAACTGAAAACAAAAACATTTATATTTCTTAAGTGTTTTTTTTACAGTGTACAACATCTCATTCACTTGTATGGAGAGAAAGGGGCTTTGCACAACTTACATGAACTAAAATCCGCCAATATATGTTATATAAGTAATATAAGTGGACAAGATAGCTAAAATAACACAATCATTTTGTTAGGTAATGTATTTTTCTTATTTTCTAAAATAATGCAAATGACGCTGATCAACCCTAGAAGGCTTAAAATAAAAATGTATTTTACAGAGTTTGAGAGGAAGAATGCAAATCCATCCAAATGCACCTGCTTCAGGACAATTTATTTTCTCACGTTAAATCAACCTGTTCATGTTTTTTTATTTGTCCAAACCTTCAATCTGCATTAATTGCTCTTTAAACTGAATTAATTAACTATCCAGCTCTTTTTCATTGTTTTCAGCAGCTGCAGGCCGGGGTGTGGGTTGGACAGGGTGAGCGGGGTGTGGGTTGGACAGGGTGAGCGGGCTGTCTGCAGTCTATGTTATATTGTTTTTGTCTTTATGTGGACATTTGTTCTCAGCTCACAATACATTTTCTGAAAATGACTTAGAAACTAGCCAACTTCCTGTAAATGAACTCAAATTAAAACATACTCTCTACATTTTGCAGCAAAAAAAACAAGGATTTGAATGAAAGCTACTAGCAATTTAGCTAAACATTTGAGTTACCACTTGGGTGGATAAGTTATTGAATAGTATTAATAAATGTCTAAAAATCAACAAAAGCCTTTTAGCGTACATTGCACATCATTTTGGAATTACCAAAGCACAGTGCAGATATTTGAAGGATTTTAATTAATGCTAGGCCTACTAGCAATTTTGCTTAAAATGAGTTAACACTTGTGTGGATAAGTTATTGAATAGTATAAATAAATGTGTCAAAATCCACAAATCGTCTTAGCTTACATTGCACATCATATTGGAATTACCAAAGCACAGCAGATATTTTTCAGATCAAACTGAAGCCTCTGAGCGGCATCCCTCCTCTCAGTGTATCCCCAGAGCCAGTCTACTGCACATTGTTCTGTGGTTTTATGTCAGAAGTGATTTGAGCAACAGTGCCGCCGTCTCTCCACAGTTCAGTTTCTTGAGTGGAGGTCAGACTCCCTTCACCTTGCTCTGGGATTTTGAAACCTCATTAGCGGCCGACGCGTGAAAGGCTGGAGACCCCGGCCTGACCCGGCGGAGAATGGCGCGTGTGTTAAAAGGTTTACCCCATGAGGCAGGAGAGGAGGGGGTTCAGTAGTTCAGTGGAGGTGGGAGAGGGGGGGAGGACCCCTGCTGGCACGCCAAACCCTTTCTACTTCCAGTCCCGACCACCCGTAAGTCCCCCCACCCTCTTACACCTTGACGACTCGGGGCCCTTGCACGGCCGAGCATGGGAACCAGCAGGGAGAGGCCTGTCATCTGAGCTCTCAGGGTCATAATGTACAACTGGGGGAGGAAGAGAGAGTGTGGGGGAGATCACAGAGTGCTATGTGACTGATTAAATGTCAAACAGTGGCAATATTTGCAGGAAGCGCCCAGCACTAACTGTTGCTGGTCTGATGAGAGGTGTGTGTTGAGCTGCAGGCAGGTAGACAAAGACTCTTTCTGATGGGAGTAATGGTCGAGTAGAGGGTTGTGTGCTCTGCATACGTCCCATGATTCATAGCTACGGCCCTGTGTGTATCTCATTCTGTGTTGGAAAGTAACTGAGTACGTTTACTCACATAATGTACATCAGAATTATTCATTTTGCTGCTACTTTATACTTCCACTGCATTACATTTTGAATGCAAACATTGTGCGTTTTACTCGTCTATTAATTTGTCAAGATTAGTTACTAATTACTTTTCGAGGTTAATATTATATACAAATCAACTTATACTGTACATTATGATGTATTATTTTATAAAATGTACCTTCACCTTTGCCAGCAGATTAGAATGGTGAACACAGCAATAGATCAATAACTGTAACCCTGTGATATAATATAGATCATAAAAAATATGGTCACTTTGGATAAAAAATACTTTTAGATGTGGTGCTACTTTATTATTTTACTCCATTCAGAGGAAAATACTATACTTTTTACTCTACTTCATTTATATAAGTTGTAGATAAAAAAAAAGACACAATAAGCTGATCTGGTATAATGCAGCACTGTGCTCCTCACTTACACAGTATCTCAAGTGTTCTACAATACTAAAATACTCTTTATGTTTGATACTTGAAGTACAGATAACACCTCTGTACATTGTGCAGGATAGGTACTTTAACTTGTTGTACTTTTTGTTGCTAATGCTTTTGTACTTTTACTGAAGTAACATTTTCAATGCAGGACTTTTACTTGTAAATGAGTATTTCAACACTGCAGTATTACATATTTGACTTCAGTATAAGACGTGAGTACTTCTTCCACCACTTCTTTCCTCTTTTGAGCCTGAAGAAATACAGAATGAATGGGAAACGAGCTGTGATGAACCTCTCTGGTATGCAGATGATTTCCTTAATGGCAAATGATTGTGGCTCATGGCAGGGGTTAAACCGTGTGCCACTTTTTATTTATTTTCTGTGATTCAATTAAGGTTAAACCAGATTTTAAGAGTTAATGAAACTTATGCTGATGCTCATCTGGCAAAAACATGACTCGTATGTATGAGTGTATATTCTGTCATGCACGCATGTATTGGAATGTTACACACACACACACACACACACACACACACACACACACACACACACACACACAACACACACACACACACACACACACACACACACACACACACACACACACACACACACACACACACACACACACACACACATTCAGGATAAACAGCAGGCGGTTTTATTTATGGTTGAATAAAAGTGCAGCTGTTGTTACCTTTTAAAAATGTCATCGTCATGCAATTTATTTTAAGTCTGCACCTAAAACACGTGAAAAGTGTTTTTTCATTTGACTGTTTTGTATTTTTAGTGTGCATCTATATTTTGTAGATTTCCTTTGATATTTATATAATAAAGACTCTTAAACATATCTGCTCCATCACCTATGAAGATCATAGTTTAAAGCAAATAAAAAATAAAAAGCACCAAACGATGTGATGGAGTGACTTTTTGGAAATGCTTTAACAACACCATTAAAACAGCGTTTGAAGTGAAATGGCAGTAATTGTGGTAAACCAATTATTCATTTACCATCCGTTTAACCATTCCTTTAAAGCAGCTGCGGAGCATCTGGACCCAAACAAACCCACAATCAGTAATTCAGTAACAACTGAGAGTTATGGGTCTTTCACTTTCTAATAAACTGTCCAGTCAGCACTTGGAAATGTTAATAAGATGTTAATTAATAAATGGATTTTAGTCCAGATGGCCTGCAGCCCTTCTCCAGTGGTTAGGTGGTCCAATTGTCACTTAGGCAGGAATTTGAAAAAAGCAGCTTAAAAGATACAAAATAATTTAATCTGTCGGAGGAAATACAACGACCAACATTATATGTTCATTTATAAAAAAGTTTTCGATACAAACGCCTTATTAGTGATTTATAAAGCGCTAATAAATGCCTAATAACATTAATTACAAGTATTAACTCTATTGCAACCATTATAAGAAATTGGTAAACAACAAAACATACCAACAAATAAATGTTACAGACATAAATTAGTATAATAATAATAATAATAATAATAATAACAATAATAATACAATGAATACATTCATTTGAATTTGAATAATATATTTAATAATATAAATACATTTTTATTAATCAAGCGCTTTGCATGTGCTCATACATTTTACAAAATAAAAGTCAAAATAAAATCAAGCTCACACAACAACATTTAAAATTAAGACGACAAAATACATTATATTTTTAAATTAAAATCATGTCTGAAAAGGTTTATTTTTCAATATTTTGAAGGTGGGGGGGTCGGTGCAGTCAAGTATTATTTGTTTTAGGTTATACAGCAATCAGTCCAGTAGCTGCTGTTCTGTCTGAGAGTGTTGCAGCAATGTCCTCGTTCTCCTCTCAGTCTGGGACGCAGGAGGTCACTGCAGATTTTCCAAAATGGCGGGTGTGAGATGAGAATCTCTATGTTGCCCAGAGAGCGCTCAGGCCGCTGAGCGAGGAGCTCACCGGCTCACGCTGCGTGGAAAGACCTCCAAATGGGTCAGAACTGTCACAAGCCATCCCATCATGTCCCGCTCCCCAAACATGATGGAAAGTGGAATGAGAATGAAATAAGACATAGTGAGTCCTCTGGGCTTGGGAGGAACGGATCTGCTTACACTACAACCGCCCTTAATTGGCAAGAAGCTCAAAAGTTTGACCCCCAGGAGCCAGATTTGAGGAGAGTTACGAGACAGTGGCTAATGCAGCACAGACCCTTTCTCCTGGATTGATGAATGAACGCGTCCAAGAGATCTAGACATCTGGGCTCGGGATACAGAGAACTGCAT